GCGCGGGGCGCCGCGAGAGCCCCCGGTCCCTGGGGCGGGAGCTGCCGGGCCGGGGGGGTACCCCGGGGGTCCCCGGCCTCTCCTCTCAGAAGGGAGGGAAGGGGGTGCAGGGGAGTGGTGAGGGGGGGAATCCCGCGGTCCCCTGTCTCGGGGGTGCCCCAGGGGTGGGCCCGGGCACGGCCGGGCAGGCGCGAAGCCGGGGCCCTCGCGTCCTGACAGGAGCTGAGCAGGGTTACATACATCCACATGCACACGCGCTTTGTCCTGGTGGCACAAAATTAATTGTGCTTTTTGGTTAATTGCTTTGAAGCGGCTGCTGCTGACCTCGGCACATGAGGAGGTGCGGTGGGGCAGATGACCGCGTCCCTCCCGGGGGTGAGTAGTAACCGGCGCCGGCGGGTGTTGAACGCAGGCCCGGGGCCGGGGGCAGGCAGCGGTTGTGCTGCCAGGGTTTGGACCGGCACTGGGAAACCTTTTTTGCTGTATAGGATGGACCCTATTTCAGAGCTGAAGGTTTGGTATTAGCTATTTTACTGCTGTTCAGTGTACAGAATATGCAGTGCTTCAAAGCTAGCAAGGTAAATAACCTGTTCTGCCTGATGCAAATGGTTACAGGTTGTGTAAATTCTAATCAGGTAAAGAGAGTATTTACTAAACATGTAATAATGTGGAACATCAGAAAGGCATGACTACAGGTACTATTGAATGTATAAAAACATTCAAAGCCATATCCTCAAAAGTAGAACTCCTTGCAGAAACTTACTATCTTACATGCATCCAAATAGAAAATCACAGCAGAGGTATGAATATCTGAGGTTTTGTACAAATTATCAGACCTGTATTCTTTATTGACCAAGGAACTGCATAAAAAGGAATTTAGATAATGTTTTAAAACACTAGTGGTTTCCACACAGTGTATGTAGTTGATGTTGCAAGCTTTCTGAAGTTAGTAGCTTTTTCTGTATCAATTGTATGTGTCTGGCACAGCATCCTTATCTACTGATCCAGATGGGACAGCCTATGTCACTCAAAAAAAGCTGTAAAAAATCTGACTGACAATTCATAATACAACCATTTTATATTAGACCATGTTCTTGTTTGTGAAACAAACAACCTACTCCCAAAAAAACCCAGGTAAATGTTTCTGCTCCAGAAAACACTCAAATACCTGATAGAAATAAGAGAATAGCCTGCTTTTGCTTTTTTTTTAGTGGTGCTGGCATGTACATGTATGTTTAGGGAAGCAGGATTAGCTTCCCTTTCCCTAAACTTCATTTTCTTTTGAATTACCAAACAAACACCACTAAAGTAATTCTGAGGTGTCACTGCAAAAAGACAAGATTGTGTTGCTCTGTGAGTTTAATCTCATACAAGCCATGTAAGAAGTTTTTTAAGAAAGAAACAACCGACAACACCAAACCCCTCACCACAGCTTTCAGTCCACAGTTCATCAGCCTTAACTGACTGATTGATCCTCTCTATGGAGAAAGAAGTCTGGCTTGCTTAACTCTTGGTTACAACATCTAACATAAAAAGATATGATTAATTATGAGCATAAAACATGCCTAAGACCATCTCTATGTACAGTTCTGCATTGGTTCCCTGCATTGCGGGGAATAGTTTTGTGGTAACAAGTTTGACAGATTTCAAGTCCATAAATTGGAGTGATGCAGAAATTAATGATCTGATACATGGATTAAAGTAAATAGTAGTTTGAACATGAAGTTAAATGCCTTGTAGTGCAATCCAGCAAGTGTTGCTGCAGTGACATAGGAAATGGAGAACTATTACCTTTTCTTTTTAACATGTGCTTTATTATTTGGAAGTCTCATACATCTGAAGTACCATTATAAGGAGCACCTGTAGGAAAATCAAACCTAGAAGCATGCATTTGAAAGTCAGGATTGTCTGTTATTAATGAAATATTTCAAAGACATTGAAAATAAGCCTCTTAGCTTTACAGGATTGTTCCACAAAAATGCACATGAACCGTATCACAGTACATACAAATATTGTGGATGGACAATAGAAATCACCACCCTTCCGTATGAGATGCATGAAGAACAAATTGTTTTCCCTTATAATGTCAGAAACATAAAAGGCACCATAATAGAATGTTTAGAAAAACCTCAGTTTATGCTATTATATTTTGATTTAAAAGTGTAAGAATTGCTGTCCCGACTTAAAACAAAAAGCCTTTCACACCTGTAAATTATCATTAGAAACTTGTAAACCTTTACATTTTTTCCAGAAGTATCAGGTGCAAATGCAAGGCAAATATAAAATCTATTGACTTATTAGATTACAAATACTACCCCATGAAAAAGCTGTAGTTACAAAAATATAAAAAAATATTCTAACTCCCATTGTTAGATCTTAGCTTCAATCTACACTGCATTATGAGTCCAAAGCCAGATCTAATTTGGACACATTCCTAGAATAGGACAGTGCTTTTTGTCTTATTTTTACATCAATATTCTGACCTCTTACTATGGTTTTGCTTTCTGGATTTGTTTTATTAGTGCATATTAAGGATGCCAAGTGGAGAGTGCTAACAGATAAAAGGTTGTATTTATCAATGGATAGTAGCAACGTAAGTGTTCTCAGTCTGCTGTCCTCCAAGAAGTCGTTTCTCTAAGGATAAAAGTGTAAGTTTTTTTTCTCCAAGCCTCCATAGTAACTTTGTGTAGCAGCATGCCATTTTCATTTATGAACCTGTGACCCCTGGTGATGGAGAAGTACTAAATTCTTCTCACAGACTTCAGTAAGAACCTGTGAGAAGTACACCAACTGCTAATGTTATGTCATAGACTAGTAGCTGCTGTTGCAAGGACAATTATTGGCAACATCTCTTGTCTTCCACACATCACAGATTGGCACATGCTTTACCCATATGGTGATTCTCTAGCCCTTGGCTTTAGTAACCTGGATCAGCATAGGATGTTGAACCAGCTACAAAGGCAGCCTAACACAGTGCTAGTAGATATTAAAATGAGTTTACTTCTACCTAATAACTTAAAATTAATGACTAGATTAAATGAGATATTCTTAATGAATAAACTTTGTAATGCTAAGCCTAAGCCTGACAAATGCTAATGCTTTCATGGCTGAATACTGGAAGCTATGCTCCTTCAGTCCTTTATGAGTGCTAGCAGAAGGTGCCCAGCTTCCAACTCTGGAGAAACTGAAGCCTTCCTTCTGTGTGCAGGGAAACTAGCATAGATGAGTAGAGTAATACAGCTGTACTCCTAGATAGCAACCTGGTTTAGCTGGGTTTGATAAGCACTCAGGATCATTCAGCCAGCAGTATGACTGTGGGAGACATACTATTGTTATCTTTATGCTTGGTGCAAGACGTTTTCCTTTAAATACGTTTTCCTGCATTAGAAACCACCCCCAGCATTTCTCCTGGTAACAACATTTGTTAGTCCTTGCCAGTTCAAGCTGGATTTTGGCCAGCTAATGGGTCTCTCGGTCAGGTGGCTCCAAACAAATGTTCTCCATAGATAAAGCGATTCTGAAATAGTGTTGTATTTTACCCTACTTGAAAGGATTGACAGTACTCACATCTGCTTTGAGACAGTAACATATTATGTTCTGTGTATATAAAAGATACGAGTTAACAGGAGACTCCTGGAGTTGTTACGGGAGGAAGTGTTCAGTGCTCTCATCTTATGCTGGGATGATGTGTTGAATAGCATATGAGTAAGAAGCTAATATTCCTCGTTATGTTTCAGTTTCATAAAAATAGGGTTCAAGCAGCCACTGTGTTCACACCTCTGATCAAAACAGTATATTCCACTCAGATTATGCTGTGATGGCAGGATTTCTTTTTAACTGGAGTTCAAAGGTATCTGCACATATCTGCCAAAGATTTTTTTTTTAAATAAGCACACTGTGCCCACATGCTTAATCAGATTTGGAGAACACTTCATACTTAACAACAAGAAAAAAATTAAACCAAACAGTACCTATAATGTAGGCTTTTGAATTTTTGTTTAGTAGAATTTTAAGATGGAAAACATGTTCCTAGCTAAACAATTGCTCTTGGCATTTCTGTTTTGTAAAAAAAACACGCAACAGTAGTAATTTTAATGAGCAACTCCCTTCCCCAACCTATTGAGTCAAAAGTTCACAAATGTAACTTCCAATCAAGGCACAAAATCATTTACTGACTCTTTCTTCCACCACTTTCTTCACATGCTCCCCTTCCCCTTAAAAAAACAGTTGGTGTAACAACGTCTTCTATACCTGACATTAAACTTAATAGTCCAAAAAGTTGTAGCAGTATCTGAGATTGGTTCTATCTATTTTGAATTTAGTTAAATCAGAAGAGCAGCACATTCTCAGCACATCTTTGTTCATTTTCTGCATTTGCCTTGAAGGGGAGGGAATGAGGGGAAAAAGCCACAGTAGTTTCATGCATACTTTTCAAGAAACTTTATGTGGAAGTCTTTCACTTTCTCCAGTAGGATCTTCAGCTTCTCTACTGGAGGAAGAATGGTCATTCTGAAAAACAATATTTAGAGGAAGAAAAAAACCAACTCCCATTATCTTCAAAACAAACTACACTGTGATCTTTGCACAGATCTTGATTAATCTCAGCTAGTAATGTGTTAAGTTTAATATCTGTTTTGACATGATTCTCTTACTTTCTGCATTTATGCTGTAATTGAACTATACTATTAAACTAGAGCAATTTCTTTTAACTGGTTAATATACAGGAACTAAAGAATTGTTATTTTCTGTTGTGTGATCAAGAAGCTTATCAGTAAGAAATAACAACAACTCAGTTTCCATTTTTGGGGTAGTTATGCCAAATTAGACTCAGTTTTTTAGCTCTAGGGGTGGGCAGTTATGAGTAAATGTTCATTTCTTTTGGAACTGAAAACTTAATTCAGAAGCATTAAAACAATGCAACGTCCCACACTGCAGTTTTTAGTCCCTTTTTTCCTTCTGCATAATCTGAAAATCACATTGAGTATGTATGCAAGACTATGCAAGAACTACAGAACAAAATGTTTTTCCCACACTGGTACAGGAATACTAGATTTTTCTTGGAGTTGCATGCACCCAGATATCTAACCCAGCTATCTGTGTTGCAGAGCTATCATGGCTAAAGGTACCCTCTGTTATGTTGCTTCAGACCAAACAAGATTAAATTCCATGATAAATTCTAGCTATCCGTGGCTCAGCTGGAGTAAAGTGCTGTTTGTTGGAAGCAAGAGCAATAGAGTTTATGTTCAGTTTTGGTATTAGAAGATTTAGTCCAACATCTTGTTTTAGTAAAGTGATGAGTTATTCAGCATGTTTAAAGAGCAGATTTATAGGGAAGATCCTGCATCTTTCACTCCGTGTGGGAACACTGTTTAATCCCCCCTCCCCCCAGACGAAAGCAAGGCAATTTTTGCAATGCCTCAGCCAACTTTAAGGTTAGAGTATAAGCTATTAATTATTATTGTTTGCATTTGTGGAGAAGGCATTTCAAATGTCAATGTATAAAAATAGAATAGAACTATGTCAGCAAGCTGTGAAAACATTGTAAAAACCTGAATAGCTCATCTAGCAGATCAGGTCTTTGACCTAGCTGTGTGTCCACAGAAAATGTCCCATAGAAAGTGAGACAACATAAACTGAAATAAAAATCCTTATATTTAATCAGAAGAGAAAGTACTGGGATGGTACTTAGCTTATTGCAGTTCATTTGATTTTAAACAAACAGAAACGGTACCTGAAATGGTAGCTTCCTTCTCTTTGGCCGAATCCACTTCCAGGTACAACACATATTCCGGTCTCTTCCAGAAGTTTCATGCAATAGAACATATCAGGTGCCATTTTATGAGCCTAAGGGAATGGATGCTTTGGAATTATTCAAGTCAAAATATTCCAAATATATAGAATTTCATGATTGCTTTTCTTCCTGAAACCTTATCTTACATTATTAGTTTCTTATTCTGTTTACTAAAGATGAAGAACAATTGCTAATGGGGCAGTTCACACTGTGAATTAAATAACAGTACTTCAGGGAGGAACAAGGCTGAAGAACCTACACAGAACACTTGCTTCAGAAGAAAGGTTTTAGATATTTTTGTTTTTCTCCTTGACTTGCTTGTAACTTTTTGTCAGAAGTCTCAAAATCGTACTTACAAAAATCTAAGCCACTGACATCTGACAAGATGAAATTAATTTGAGAGCTGTGTGTTCCAGTTCCACTGGCAGTTACTGTTTTTTTCCCTTGAATTATCTGCCAACTAGAAAGTCCCCTGATTAATAACTATGGAAGTTCTTAAATACATGCAGGTTATATGCCTAATCAAATAATCAGCTGAAAAACAGCCCTATTTTTGTCCTCAGCTATGTTGATAAAATTCCCTTTAAAAAATGAATATTACACATAGCTAATAGAGCTCTGGTTAGGAACAAAAAGACTTGTCATTTAGTAATATAGCTTACTGACCCAAATACAAAAAGGTATTGTACAGAAGTAAAATTTGTAAGGAAACCTCCCTCCCTCTTTCGCACGCTTGCTGACTGGGGCTTCTTTTGCAGGGTCAGTAGCACACTGCCATTCACAATCCCTGTCACACGTGCTGGCCTACCTAACCCGG